CTGCAGGTTTGAAAGAGCCCAGGTGGGGCATAAGCATTAATTTTCTTGGTACTCAGCAGAGCCCGGGAGAGGCAGAGAATCTGCTGAGGGTGGGTGGAGTCCAGGGGGGATGGAAGAATTTGTTTATTTTTGGCCTTTGGGTAACCTGGACAGGGTGGAGCTCTTACGTGGCATAGCTCGGAGGGGCTAAGACGCCCCAGGCCAAAAGGTCTTGGAGGCTGGGTGGATCAGCTGAAGACTAGGAGGGACTATCACTTGAGTCTGGGAGTCTAGATACTTCTAATCTGAGTGATTGCCCTCACTCACCAGGAAGCCTGTGTTTGTGCATATGCATTCTGTGTGTTCGGCTGACTGGCTGCAGTTGGGTAGCAGATGGCCATGAGAAATAAGAGTTGGCGTGAGCCAGAGGTTTGTTTTTACTTTGCTTTTGCAGCTCCATCCATCAGAGGCTGCAAGTCCCAGCCCCGCTGATAGTGGCTTGTACTGTCAGCAAGGCTCAGACCTGAAAAGGTTTTGATACTATCACACTAAGAATTTCCGGTGGAGCAGTATTCCAAAATCCTCCTGTCCCGCCTGCCCAGGAAAATGCATCAACTGCTGCATAAAACACAGGAGAATCACTGTGCTGAGTTTCAGTCTGGAAGGATTTTTTTTAATAGTTTTATGCTGGAGTTTTAAACACTTGAAAATAGGTGTTTATAATGTAAAGCCTGAGAGCTCCTTGACTAAAGCGTCTGAAATGCCATTCTATAATGTGCATTGTACAGTTAACAAGCTTTTCATAGTGCATTTCATATAAATAGCAAGGCATTTGACAACGCTGTACATACAAAAGTGACACACTGCCACAATGCAAGTCAAATTAATTCTTGGTTTCCTTTATCTTCCTGCCCATGTTTTCTCTTGATCCTCCTACTTTATTTGCTCTAATAGCTTCTGCTAATAGAGTTTAGTTGTAGAGGAAGATAACCTGTAGCAAACAGCAGATCCCATTTCTAACCGGTAAATGCCTTTAGCTTTAGTGACATATCAACTTCTTCCATAGGTTTTACTTTCCTATTTTTAAGTAGCATAAGCTCATAGCTCATTATAGAAGGGCAGTGTGCATGAATTACTGCATAATGTTTTACTAAGCCCAAGGATGTGTTCTTATCCAGTCTGCTTGGTTTTAATGCTGATTGGTAATGCCAAGAGGGTAAAGAATTAGAACCAAACATTCAAAGGGAATAAAATGCAGCCTCTGAAATTGCACCCCCATTTTTATGCATGTGTTTTTCTGTGGCCCTGAACTGTGGCTTGCATGCACAAAATTGCAGTTGGCAGGGCAAATTGAGTAATAAATAATAAAATAAATATAAATAATAATGGAGATATCCCATCTCCTAGAACTGGAAGGGACCTTGAAAGGTCATCGAGTCCAGCCCCCTGCCTTCACTAGCAGGACCAAGTACTGATTTTGCCCCAGATTCCCAAGTGGCCCCCTCAAGGATTGAACTCACAACCCTGGGTTTAGCAGGCCAATGCTCAAACCACTGAGCTATCCCTCCCCCCATTAAAACTGGCTTTGTCTGTGCCCTTTAGGTACGTGGGCATCTCCTTATCCCATTGCCACATGCAAATAGTAGCCTGTGCTCTGAAATGTGGGCTTTTGGATGGAGAAAATGAGACCAATGAAAAACTGCACGTGCAGTTTTAGTTTCTGAAAATTTGACACTTAAAGGCGAAACAGTCAATGCTTTTATATAATATACAAGTGTCAACATCGGGAGCTTGTTGTAGGAGGGAATATAAGTTTGAAAGCTGTAAACAAGAGGGAAAAATGAATAAATTTTGCTTAATTCTCAATTTAGACATGGGTTCAGAGCTTTGACTCAGATGTGAATTCATTGGATTTGCATCCTGTTTAGGAGAGATTATGCTGGGGAAAAGATGTGCCGATGAGGGATAATTGAAGCAGAGGACAGGCGGCATGGGAAAGCGGAGAGTGAACATGGGAGCAGAGAGATGAAGAAAGATTCTGCTGATGAGTGCACACTTGTAATGTATACAACACCACCTGTCTGTACCAGCTTTTGCAGAACTCCTCTGTCCCATGTATGTGGCACAGGCATCTCTTTGGGATGGAAACTCTTTGTGTTTAACACAGCTCTCCTTCTGAAGGAAACCCTGGCTCAAAGGACAGGAGGGGAAGAAAAAAGGTTTCATGCATTTTTGTGAACCCACAAATTCCGTTTGAACTCCACAAGATTCATCCATCCCTAGCAGACAATAAGGAGAGGGAGCTATTGAGGATGACTCAAGGGGGCTTAATTAGGAGTAAAGAGTAAGAACTGAGAAAGAGAACTTGGACAGAATGTCAGGGAAGAATTTGATGTATTAGGCTGCGTGGAACTGCTTCCCCCAGGAAGTGGTAGAAGCTCTGTCACTTGGGATGTCTAAAATTAGACTGAACAAATCACTGGTAAGTGTACAAGAGGGAATAAGCTTTCACTCGCAGGCAGATGGACTGGATGACCTAATAGGTCATTGTATCCTGTAACATCTAGGTGTCTTAACGGGGATAGGAAACAACAAAACAAAAAGCAAAGCCACTGCCAGCTAGTAAAATGGAGCCAATTAATATTTCATAGCTATGATGTCACCCGAAGGCGATATTTTAATGGTTCTAACAGCATAACCCTGAAACAGGACTTTAAGCGTGATGGGGGAGAAGAAAAAAAGCTGAATCATTCTTATGGTGTTTTAACTTCAGCTATGCTCTGGACCATCTCCTTTGTCCCAATCCCTCCACAAACAGTGGCCCCTGTCCTGCAACAAGCACAATATTGGCAGATCCCGGCATTCAAGATGAGCTACATTAGCCTCATTGTGGGACTCCACATGGGTCCAGGGGGTTGCCTATGCAGAGCTTGTGGCAGGATCAAGCCCAGTGGATGGTTCTGTAACTCTGGAGTTCAAGGTGTGGCTGTGTAGTTGGTGTGTGCAATATATACAGATATCATGATGGAGCGGTAGTGAGACCACAGTTAAGCTTGTATAAAGGGTCTTAATTGCAGGGAGAGTCATTTATTCTATGTAGGGCCAAGAATTAAAACAAAACAACCCCCCCCTCCCCAAAGTTACGTTTGTAAGTCCAAATTTAGGCATCTGCCCTAGATTTTGAAAAGCTCTGAGCACCCAACATTTCCCATTGACTTCTTTGGGTGTTGAGGAATTTTCGATCAGGCAGATGCCTAAGGTATGGATTTAGATGGCTGAAATTAGGCACCTGTTTTCAAAAATCTTGACCTATATAAACATTTCCAGTAAACGTTTTCTACTTGGAATGGGGCAAATATCTGACACCAAAATATTACAAATAATAAACCAGCATCCATTAAAAGCAGAGGGGATTTTTTTAAGGAATTAAAGAAAAATATGTCCAAATATTTTAAGAAGACTCCAAAACCTCAGCAATGTGTGTTTGACTAACCAATGCAATCCTATGATTTCATATTGCCGTAACCACTGTACTATCTTTATCTCACCCCCTTTATGGCTCTCATTTATTATGTTAAATCTTAGATTGGACGGATGGATAGAGCTTACAATCCTTATCATCTTATCCTGCACTCATGCCCATGGTGTCCAAACACCAACAGTTCTTTGATGCAAAAACTTTGTCTCTTACTGGTCTCTCAATTGCTATGCAGTCCTATGTTGTTGACTACTTTATTAATCATACAAATTCATTTTTAAAAGTGTTGTGATCCATCAACTGTATAAAATGCAACTCTCAGTTGCACAGATATCACCATGGGCGTCACTGCATAATAGCACCGTTTTCTCAATCACTGTTTTCCTAGGTGCTGTATACGTACCTGTAATAACCATGTCACATGCTGCTTATTCTGTCTACCTATCTGAGAGTTCTGTTGGCATGAGAAGGAACTTGACCTTTACTCTTCTAGTTATCTTGTCATTATCAGAACCCCTTGAACTCTCCTCTGTATAATGGACATCTGCATGTCAGAAATCAGTTGTTTTGTAGTGCTGCAGCAGGCATAGTTCCACTGAAATCAAGGTAGCTGTATAGATTGAGACCTCTCTGGGGATCTGGGTGGATGTTTGCAATAACACTGGTTTCTCCGGTGAGTTTGGAGAGGTGAGAACCCTGTGAAGTTTGGTGGGTTGCCTACTCTAACTTTCCCACCTCTTGAAAGGTTTTCTGGTTTGGGAGGAAGAGCAGGGTATGCTATTGACACATCCACTTCCCGGGCCCCATTCCCATCAAAACTCATGCCACACCATGCAAGGTGTCTTCTTCCACACTATGGTGAGGAGCACTGGAGTTGTAGAAGCTAGAGGTGTCAGAGGTCTGTTGGATCATGTTTATTCCACTCCTGCCCCTGGCTACTGCAGGATTGCCCACTGCTATGGTATGATGGAGGCTGGAGTAGCTGGTTTGGGAGATGTAAACGTGTCACCTCTGTGTCTTCTGGTGAGAGGCATCTCTTCACATGCAGTGCACTTGCTGAATTTCCTAGTGCCTATATGTGTCTGATCAACGTGCCAATAAAAAATTACAGCACTTGAAAAGAACAACAACGACAAAATAAAAAAACAACAACAGATACTAAATTACTTTTTAAGAGCTCAGCCTTGATCTTTGCAGCACACTCCAATCTCCCCTAATCTGGCATTATGTTTTGTATAGTACCTTTTTGATTTATGCTACTCTCTCCAGACTAGGTTTAGTTATTGTTATAGACCAATCAATGGCCTTTTAAAATCTCCTTCCCCCGCCTTTAGCGTTTTGGAGAAATTATTGATCACGATTTCCCTCCGTTGTCTCAAATGTGGCATATGAGTCATACCCCCACCCCCTCTGAAAGCTTTAACACATTAAGGGGAAGAATAAAAAAAACCTCAGGACTGTGTTGCTCCAATGTCTTGGTGGCATATTTGCATCATGCTCCCTTCCAGCAAAACACCCATGATGTGTATTTTCTGCCTTTCAGCTGACGATGCTTGTGGAGGGACGTTACGGGGACAGAGTGGAATTATCTCCAGTCCTCATTATCCTTCAGAGTATGGCAATAATGCAGACTGTACGTGGACTATCCTAGCAGAGCCTGGAGACACCATTGCTCTGGTTTTCATGGATTTTCAATTAGAAGATGGATATGACTTTTTAGAAGTCACTGGAACGGAGGGATCCTCACTCTGGTAAGTGAGTGGCTGTATTTCCTTTTATGGCTGTACATGTTTAATTCTATCTGCACATATATAACTTTAGGTGTGAAATTAACTGCAATGGGATCCAGTGTGCACTTCACCTCGTACCTGAACCAGAAACTTCCTGGTCAGCACTAGCAGTGGTTACAGCCACAATTCGAGATTTTAAAGTACATTGTAATGAAAAATCTCTGCATTTATTTTTATGGCTTTAGTTGAGTTTTACAGTGTCTGCTTTTGAAGTCTGCTCTTTCTTAAGAGCCCTGTGGTGTGTAGCTGGTTAACTAGATTAAAAACCTGTGGCTGTAGAAATCTTGAACTTGCTTTTTGCTCAATTGTTTTCTGATTACCGGTAAATCTATTGCTGACAAGTTAACTTTACTGTTAACGACCCTGTGGCAAATGTGCTACTGTTTGATTTGCTCTATGTACAGTAGGCTGCAGACAGAATTTAAGTATTCCTGTTCTCTCGTCCCATTAAGTCTAGTTTGATTACTCCACGAATGTGCTTGCTTTGAGAGCGCGGGGTTTATTTTGTTGGTAAGCAACTTACTGCGCTGCCGTCATTCCATTTCTTTTGCCTTCTTCAAGGTAACAATGATGTCTCCACGGTGAGGGCTGTGAAATTACAAGTTGGGGTTTGTAGAATAAATTTGATAGCTGAGGTCTGTACTAATAGCGTCTAACAAAAAAAAGTTGCAGGATACCCCATGATGATGATTTAGGTTGGTTAATGTTTGGGTTCAGCAGTTGATGAATCATAGAATCATAGAATCATAGAATATCAGAGTTGGAAGGGACCTCAAGAGGTCATCTAGTCCAACCCCCTGCTCAAAGCAGGACCAATTCCCAGCTAAATCATCCCAGCCAGGGCTTTGTCAAGCC